CACGCTCAACCGGGTTTCTGTAGAACCCTATTGCTCCTCCAGAGGTTGCTGGGCGTTCCTGGAGCCAGTGGCCGATTGACCTCCCATCTGATGGTGCCAAGATAGTTCCATGCCCAATGCCACTTGGCAGAGCCAGTGGAATGACACCAATGATCTTTTAAGCTGTTGGCAAAGGTGCCATTGTGACCATCACTGTATGTGTGGCATTCTTCACACTAAACATCAGTGTAAGGGGCAATCTTCCCACTGAACATTAGTGTAAGGGGCATTCTATCCATTGACCACTGATGTATGGAGCATTCTTCCTACTGACCGCTAATGTAAGGGCCCTCCTTTCTACTGACCACCAATGTAAGTGGTGTTCGTCTTGTTTCACCCTGTGAAAGATGCCGATCCTTCACTCCTCCATGTAGATAAGTAAAGAATCGGTACCAGTCATGCACGACTACCAGCCTTAGGTGTAGATTGCAGCAAATCCTGGTGCTCTCACAGGTCATATACACATACAGATCTAATACAAATAACTAAAGAGCGCAACTACCTGAACTTGTCAAATCTGGGATGTCAGAAATGTCCCCAGTCCGAGTACTCGGCTGGCCAGGCCGAGCCACGGCAGCTGGAGAAGGAGAGGGGTGAATGCCCGTCGGCTAAATGACACACTGAGCCGTGTGTTCCTGTGCCATGTCTGAGAGAACCGTTGGGGGTGCGCTGAGTGCTGTGTGTCAGTGCTCGTTTGTCAGAGGGAGATGTGCTCTGATCTGGAACCAACATACAGGCGGGGCTGGCGGTAGGCTACGCGTTTCGAGGGTAACCCTCTTTGTCAAGCCTTAGAGCGGTACAGAGCTGTCTGTCTATGCCTCCCCTAACGCTTTTCACTGTTTCTGCACCACTAAGCCCGTATCCACACTAGTTTGCTAATGTTAACCTAAACGCACCGAACAAGACGTGTGTTTTACATGTGCAAAAACATCAGCCAAATGAGCAAAAGACATATGGTTAAAAGTAGGGATGCACCTATACAGATACTAGTATCGGTATCAGTGCCGATACTGAGTATTTGGGTGAGTACTCGTACTCGTCCAAATGCACCGATACCTTCCCCGATACTGGAACTTCCAGTCTGATGAAGATTTACTCTAACTGGCAGTGCCATAGGGGAACATGGAGCCAGCTTCCTGTGCGATCAGGAAGCTGGGCGGCGAGTAATGACCCGGCTCACGGCTTTTTGATTGGCCGGTAAGCCGTCTCCATGCTGATTGGCCTGGAAGTCGGCTTCCCGGCCAATCACCATCGAGCCAGCCGAACAACTCGATGCTGATTGGCCAAGAAGCCGGCTTTCCAGCCAATCAGCAGGGATCTGGCTTCCCGGCCAATCAGGAAGCCGGCTCGATGCTGACTGCCTGAGAAGCCGGTTTCCTGGCCAATCACAATCTAGCTGGCCAAACAACATGGAGCCGGCTTCCTGATTGCCTCGGAAGCCGCCTCCATGTCAGTGGAAGCACCAGTATCAGTACTCCTTATTGGCGAGTACCGAAAGCAAAGCATCGGTACTCATACTCAATACCGCAAAAATCGGTATCGGTGCATCCCTAGTTAAAAGATGTGTGAAACCTGAAGCTCAAAAAGGCAAATGAGCTTCTTTGCAGCATTTTTTGTGTGTAGGGCAACTCATTGAAATGAAATGCGTGACCAAGACAAAAAATGCACGCTGCATGTGTGCATGGGGACTAAAGGCTCGTGCACACCAGCTCCTTGGACTGCCCTGGGCAACATTGCCCATTACAATTCTAATACATAGATAAGGTTCTTGCTTCAGTTCACACTAACGCATTGAGTTGGCGTGCACTGAAAAAAAAGTAGGACATGTAGGACTATAA